TTTCCCTAACAAAATATTGCTATTTTTCTAGCAAAACTTTTCTCCATTTTATTTGTACTTGTTGTCTATTATTTCCACTTACCTGCTTCATAAACTTCTGCTTTTATAGTAAAATGGCTGTCTTTCTATCACACATGTTAGCCTTTTTCTGTGTTTGTGGTGATTTTAGTCCTGCAGTTTAGTGGGTTTATTAAGACTTGCAGGGTCAGTGTCCTTGGAGCCCTCCCAGACTTATTTTCTTCTCAGTAGCAGAATTATGTTTTCTCTGATTTGAGGGAATCTTGAAACAAGAGTTTAGAGGAATAGTCTACCTATGACAATACCCCTGTATGAGAGTGAACTCTGTTGTAATGCTTATCTGCCTTCAAAAAAACCCCACCAAATAACAAACTGAAGTCTTTCCATTAACTTTAGTAGGCTGTCAGTAACGTCCTAAAGCCAAGAAAAGGAAGGACTGTTTTATTCCTGTATCTGGAAAGACGGAGGTCGGCAGAACTAAGCCCTCATCTTCAAGTATTCACATTATATGGATTAGTCCTGACTTTGAAGAATGCAATAAAAATATTTTCCCTTCTTTTCATCTGGCATTGGGGCTCTGGCCATTTTAAAGTCAGGTTTTTAATCTTTTAGATGCAACCATGAAGGCTTTTTTAAAGCCAAAGTTACCATCAGATTTAGTGTGTTAGAGGATTACGAAAGCAACAAACAGACATTTGATCAAATAATTGAACTGTTATGCCAATTAAAAGTGCAGATATAACTCTTTTGCGTTAGGAGACACCACAAAAGAGCCCATTTGTTAAAGCAGAAATTCATTGAACAAAACATTCATGATCTGGTGAACCAGTACTATAGTTTCCCAAATGATTATCCTACTGATGAGCAGTCCCCAGTGTTAGATACTTGGTCTGCCCTGGGGAATACAGCAATGGAGTTTTCCTGCATAACCCTTCTTTTGTAACTTGAAGCAAGTTCAAAGCTCTTAGTTTATGACGCTTTTATCAGAGTTCTTAATACAGAAGCTGGTTGATGCACTGATAATCTTTACATGTTACTTGCTGATATATTTATCTTGATTGGTAAGTTTGTTAAATGATGATTGGGCATAAGTTGGAGCAATCGCACACCAAGCAACAATTGTTCAGTTACTCATTTGTCACACCTGAGGAGGTCTTTATCCCATTTCTCCTTAATGAAGATTTGTAATTTCTTGCACAGCCCTTTTCAACATCATTTATATGAGGCAGCCAGATCCACAAAGCTGTCAAACCTATAGAATGAAATATTTTGCACCACATGTTCTGTAGTCAATTAGTAAAATCAATACATTCTGCTTGCTGTTACCCTATGGATGACTAAAGCTGCAGGTTCAAGGTTAACTAACATGGTGAATCTGACTGCTCATAGTTAAAACATATTTTCTTTTAATAGACTCTGAAGATTTTAATGGGAAAGTAAACAATGTTGAATTTGAAATACAAATGTTTTAAATTGGAAACCTGACTCTAAAAGTAACCTGTATTTCTTTAGGGAATAAAACTGTAACATGGAGTTCCAATCAGAATGTCTTTGATTTTTTAATTGGCATATCTAATCCTCAAAGTCACATTCCAACAATTTGTTTCATGAGTCAGTGATGTGCCAAAATGTGTTTACCTAAAACACTTGTGAAATAATTTATAGCAGCAGCAACTGTGTAGAAATAATGTTATTTCTTGACAATTTGCATGCAAATTTGTGCCCCCAAAAAGAGATACTGTATTTCAGTGAAAGTATTATTTACTGTGAATAGTTTGCCCTGCTTTAGTTGCAAAGAATACCAATAGTTTGCTTTTCATCAGTCCCATGATTTCAGAGGAAACCTTTCTGGATGCCTTATTTTTTCTGGGTTCCTAGAAGCTCTGTAAGGGTCAGCAGGGAGCTCCCTGTGGGAGACAATCCCTTTCCATCCGTGTCTTCAGCTGGGAAGCACAGTGCTCAGATAACATTGGCTTGTGCCTGTTTTTCTATTTGTTCTACCCCTTCTGTGAGCAAAAGATTGGATTACAGTTGACAATGGATTTATACTCTGATTCCATTTTCTCCAGATCAATGATTTCAGACTCAATTACCTCAACATGCCTTTCTGTCTCCACCACCTGATTCTCCAGACCATTAAATTTTGCAATGAATGAATCACTTTATTCTTCAACAAAGGAAAGATTTCTTTCAATTTGTGCAGATTAGCATGGAGGGCTTCCAGGAAAGGCTTGGGGAAAAGTTTCTTGCCATGAGAATGGCAATTTGGAGGCCGTGCGTGGTGTGACTCAGAAGTTGGATCCTCTTTCTGAGGATCTTGCCATTTAGCGACCACACAGCTTGAAGAAAGTGACCTTTTCACCTTCAATTTCTGCTTTTGGCTTAATGTTCAGCATCCAACAGCCCTTTGGGTATACTAACTCTAAAATATTAC